ATCCATAGTTATATTTATAGATCGAAACTTATAAAATATATATGTAAACCTATCTATATCCGACTGGTTGCAGATTTTAGTATCCATATACGGATACATCTTTATCCATTTGCAACCCTATTTATGACAAAAGTATCTAGTATTAGTTTATACAAAAAGGGTGGAATTATTTTCGTTTGTTTTTTATTTGCTCTTTTTGAGGGGTGGGGTGGCCATACGTGGGGGTCTGGGTGGTGACAGTTGGCGGCTGCTCAGGCATAGGGTGGCGCAAAGTTCTCAAAAGACTTTCATCCCAAATTTCAAACATGAGACCCACCTTTGCATTTTCTTCCAATAAACAGTTACCAAAGGTTGTTAAGAGACCCACTTGAATGATGGCTTATTCTATCCAGTGCACTCGTATTTTTTTGTTTAAAAGAAAATCTCCATCTAAAAATAATAACAGCTGGCCTTTAAAAATCCAAGAAGCTACAACAAATATAGACCTACAGTTCATACTATAGTATAGATTTACAGTTAATACTATGCAAAACCTTCACAGAAATGCGTAGCTACATGACCATTTCCCATTCCAAAATTAGCCTTCAAATAAGTAAACGAAAATGACTTTGGCATCTTCTTCAAATCACCTCCTTATTCCTCAAACCACACATTGTACTCACAAAAGATAACTACTACTAGGTTTGCTGATTTGTCCTTTTTTTATGATCAACCATCTTGTAAAAAGCCAACTCATCAACTAAAGCAAATAGTTAGTGGTTAAATTTTCCAGACTAAGATAAGTAGAGATAAATTAGTGTGCAATAAATATTTAAATATGTTCATATAAATGCTTCAGTTCACAGTATATCATTTACGAATAGTAAGTAACAGATTTTCTTGGATACATTTTGTATGAGCTTTATCAAAGATCATTAACTTCACATCAATGTCATTGAATTGCAACTTTATTTTTATTTTATATTTAACACCCCCCCCCCCCCAAAAAAAAAAACCCCCCCCCCCCACCAAAAAAAAAAGAAATAGAAAAAAGGGTATAATTCCTAGTTTTATCCTGGGTTTGATGTCCTTATGTAGTCCCGTAGACATTCATCTGTATAACCAGTTACCTGTTCTCCCTGTCAAAACTCCAAGGTTGTGTCGAGGATTGAGAAGTTTAGTACTACTCTTAACACTCCCTTGTTTGTGTGTGCATTATTGCATCATTAATCGTGTTCTTAACTAATCCATTTTAACCTCTT